AGCATATATTAAGATAATGTTTATATGTAATATATTTAATGTATATTTAATTCATCAATTACTGTAATAATTTGTCAACATTTTATGGTATAATTAACAATATTTTAATATTTATATATCTGTAGGATATTTCATAATAAATTAATTATTTAATCGAATTAATTATTTAATATTGAATTTATACATTGTTTATTATATAGTGTTCAAATTTCTGAATTTTTTTATTCTCTATATAATTCAACTATACCCATGTATCATTCCTATAAGGAGGGAAAGAGAAGACATTTTCTTTTTTAATCCGAAAAGTAATCAATGCTTGCATTGATGTTTCCCGATATTGAATTTTCTTTGACGATACTCCGATTCCGGTGGGAGCTGTCCGTCATACGATAAACCTGCGTTTCAAGTTCATTGACCTGCTTCCATACCTGTTACTGATAGCGGCACTCGTTGTTGTTCACTGGTACTTAAAGTTCAAAGTCTAATTAATCTGTCACAAGGATTTATTTAACGTATCGGTAGAACGTACCTACTGTATAGACACGTGCACTCGTTGCAGATATTATAAATTCCAGTGCAAATACAATATTCTGTTAATTACATTAATAGTAGATAAATATTCAATTAATATACAATTAATAAGATTTGAAATTTTATAATTTGACGAATACATAATATCGAATTCTTTAACGATTCGATATAATGTTTATCGCATTGGCGAGTTAAAGATAAATTTTTACGCTGCTCGCATGTAAAACGAACGTATTTTGACCCCTATATGAACATTTATTCTTCAGTAGCCTGTCTAAATAACGGAAATCATATTTGCATAAATGATATCCAAACTCATATGATCGATATAGAATTTGCACGTGTCTTTACCAGAGTCTCATAAAAAATAGCGGTTCCTTTTCTTTCTGTAACTCTTTAAGAATTTCACGAAGATAATTTATTAGGCGACGTAAAAAAGTTGCCACCATGCAAAAAATAATTATATAGTTCGTATTTATCGCCAGTATTCATAGTTGATTCTTACTTTAAAATTGTTTTAACTCTTTGAAGCACGATGTTATATTTATGTAACACCTATTAAAAAATGTATTATATCCCTTCTGTTTTTTTTTTGTAACTATTTGTATTCAGTAATATTATAAATCACTGAATCTGAATCTAAAGTAAAAATGTTAAAATTAGTAATAAGATATTAGTAATAATTCAAAAAAATATTTTAAACTTTAAAATAGTTTACTCAAGGCGGTTCAAAGTAAGTAATAAATCTTTGATTTGTGTAATATGTTCATTCTCATTTAATGGTGCAACATCCCAAGGAGGAAGAGGGCTTACTATTCATAAGATTTCTATAACAATGGATTTTTCCGGAATTAAGTTGTTAACCTAATTTAATCTGGGGGATCCATACATATATCCACTGATATAATAGTTTGAATAGTTTGAGGATTCGAATAGCGCTGGTGATTAAAGATCTCCAGATGGAGCCATTTTTCAGCTCCTTAAACGCGAAAAATCGCGTCTGTGGACGCAAACAAGATCCGGATCTACAGATCGCGAGTCAATCGAACTGAGTGACAAGCCACTCGACGTCTCTTCTAAAAATTGTATACGATCTCATATATCCGTAATCTCACTACCAAGCTATCTGGTCTCTTGGATTGCTACTATGTTCAGTTTATATTTTCTCACTTGCTCTAATAAGGCTTTAACTGCCCTCGGTTTGTAAAGAGATTGTAAATACATTCTATGACCCGATAGCATAGTCCGTAATTCGTTTGCGTGGTCATCGCCGTATATCCAGTCTAATCCGAGTTTTCGCTTCAGAAGAAGACTGTTTCAATAATATGTTGGTTTTATAAGCGTTTTTTGAGCAT